ACAATAGTTAGATGAGGTGGATAGGCTTACTTCTCCTCGACTGTGACGGAACAGGTAGAGTAGACAATGTAACCGCCCGTCTTGCTGTGGTGGTTGACAGAGTCAATGGCGGCGAGGATAAGCTGCTTCTGCATGTGCGGCAGCAGCATGAAATCCCTCTCCGTCTTGTTGGTCTTGACGCTGGCATCCTTTGCAATGACACCGGTACCGGAGCAAGGGGCATCGAGCAGGACACGGTCGAAACCACCCATGGGCTTGGGGAACTCCCTGGCGTCGTAGTTTGAGACGACGACGTTGCGAGCGCCGAGGCGGTGGATGTTACCAATGAGACCCTTGGCACGCTGCTTGCTGGGATCGTTGGCGACGATGACACCCGTGTTCTTCATCATGGCGGCCATGTGCGTTGTCTTACCACCGGGAGCGGCGGCCATATCCAGCACGCGCTCGTTCTCCTGGGGCTCGAGGGCCATGACGGGCAGGAAAGAGGAGGCGGCCTGGAGGATGTAGTAGCCGGCCAGGTACTCGGGCGTGGCACCGAGGGGCACGTTGCTCTCAAAGATCTGGAGGCCGACCTTGGACCACTTTCCGACGGGCTCGAGGGTGACGCCGCGGCCGATGAGGGCCTGGGCGAGGTCTCTGCGGTGGGTGCGGAGGGTGTTTGTGCGGATGACGACGGGGCGGGCCGACTCGTTGGCCTCGAAGAAGGCAAACGCCTCGCGGGGCGAGAAGAGGTTGAAGAGCTTCTCGGCGAGGTACTCGGAGTAGCCGTAGTAGGCGCAGATGTCCTTGATGAGCTGGTTGACGTACTCTGTGCGGGAACGGCCCTCCTCGTGGAGCTTCGCAAAGTCGTCGAGCACTCTGATGTTTTCCGTGATTCTCGTTCTCAGGAGCTGCAGGTCTGGCGCGAGGAGCGTCTTGGTCTTGGCGGCGAGCTCGTCGTCCGAGTCGTCTTCGAGGATGTGCGGCTTGTCGCCGTCAATGTTGGTCTGGATGCCCATCTCCTCGAGTTCGGCCTGGGCGTCAGCGTCCTCCTCGGCCTGCTTCTGGTCGAGTCTCCGTGCGAGACCCTCAATGTTGGCCTTTGTGAGCATCTCCTCGCCGTCCGAGTCGTCTTCGTCCTCTGAGAACATGTGCTTTCCGCCGCCGCCACGCTCCTCTTCTGAATCGTACACGGAATCGTCGTCAGAACCATCTATGAAGTCGTCTCCCAGCTTCTCCGCGGCCTCCAGGTCGGAAAACTCGTCAACCTCGTCATCATCGTCGCTCATGTCGGAAGGGGCACCAGCAAAGTCGCCGGCATCGTCGTCGTCTGACATCTCTTCGTCCGAGTCGACAGGCTGGGGTGCCTTCTTTCCTCTGCCGTTGGCGGCCTTGGGCGCAGGCTTTCCAGCCTTGGCACCGTTGCTCTTCTTCGCATCCTGCTTCTTCGCTGCCGCGGCATTGGCCTTGGGCGCCGCTCCTCTTCTCCTCCTCTTGACCTCGGGAGCCTCGACGGGCTCGACTGGCAGACCGGCCTTGCGCTTCAACTTTGCGAAATGCGCCTCTGACAAGGGTTCGGGCGCACCCTGCTTCTTCATACGGTTTCCGACACCCATTTTGATCGATCAATCCGTATCGAAACTTGGGTATTTGGGTGGGGGAAAAAAGGGTACCAAAGAAGTAGAAAATTCAAGATATACGGTACCGCCTGGTTCAAAGTCGGTCGCCGCTACACTGCTCAGAAGAAAAAAAAAGTTCCTTCACTTGGGTTAGAAGCGGTCCCCCCACCGAAACTTTTTCCTATCGCGCACTGACCAGCACCGATAAGATTGGGCGATAAAGCCACGCCGCCCAGACGAGCGGTCGAAGCTCCACACTCCAGCTCAGTCCGCCCCGCCATCCCTCTTCAGTGCGTCAACTCTAACTGAGCAGAGCGGGCAGCACACCAGAACACCGGACGAAGTCATTTCCAACGCCTTACCTCCAGCCGATCATCTAGTAATTAAGCCTTCACCGACATTCCTTCCCTATATCTCACACAACCTATAGCTTCTGAACTCAAATCGACGATTCGAACAACACCGACCAGGCAAACTTCCCGAAAGCGCGCCACATAGCCCAACATATCACAACCATGGCCGAAGTCGTGTTCGCAAGACAGTTCCTGGCGACCTTGGAGTCGCGCCCGGCGAAGCTGTCCGCCGACCATGTCGAGCACCCCAAGAACTTCCCGGCTCGTCCTCCCGTAAGCCTCACCCCTACTAGCGAAGCTTTAGTAGCTACGGATAGCTAACATCATGCAGTACATCCTGCCCAAGATGCCCAAGGCCATGAGCAAGCCCTCGAATCTTGCCCCAGGTCAGGAGCGCAGCGTCAACGTCACTCTCAAGTCCCTGCGCAACCCTCCTCTGGATATCAAGCTCTCCTCCCAGTCGCTCAACACCTCCATCCTCGACATCAAGGCGGCGGTTGAGGCGGAGTCACGGATACCTGTGGACAAGATGAAGCTGCTGTTCAACAAGAAGCCGGTGCCAGACAGCAAGGTGCTGAAGGACTTGCTTACGGACGGTCAGGCATCTCTTGAGTTCTCCGTCATGGTTATTGGAGGAGCCGCTGCAGTCAAGCCTGAGCCTAGCGCTGCGGTTGCGCCCAACACTACAGAGGAGGACATCGGAGAGGCGGCATTGGACACGGACGAATTCTGGAGCGATCTCAAGGGCTTCTTGCTGCAGAGGCTTAAGCACGAGCAAAAGGCGGAGGAGCTATCAGGGCTGTGGCGCTCAACCTGGCAGGCCCAGAAGAAGTCATAACGTAGAAATTCACGAAGCACAACACTTGAACATAGGTGATGGTCTAATAAAGAAGTGATTTCGTCGTCGTTATTTGGGCAACAACAAGAATGCTCTGCATTCCGGCATGAGATGTTTTCCTATGGCACTGGGTTGATATAACCAGGCGGGCAGTTCAAATCTGGAAATTTACTTGTCACGCCCCAAAAAGAAACTCGGAGTGGGAAAAAGGTCTGGGTCCCGAAATCGCCAAAGGGGGAGAAAGTGGCCCTCCATATTCATCGTAAACTCTCCATGATCGTCGTCAATCGTCCCGGAAGACTGCAGCCGCCAAAGTGTATGCTCCGTCTCACCGCGTAAGGAAGGGTATGGGTGTGTTTGAGGGGAAAAGAGACATTTAACCAGCCATGCCCTTGCTGACGGTCTTGAGAATGGAGTCGTACTCGATGTCGTCGGCATCGTTGGCCTGGAGCTCGGTCGCGATACCAGTGAGCGAGCGCTTCAGGGCCTCCTTGGAGGAGGCGTAAACCATCTTGGCCTTTGGTAGTGGGTTAGCGACAATTCAATTGAGCTTTGCAAGAGTAGCTGGTACTGACCATGACACCGGCATCATCGGGGGACCAGGCGAGGAAGGTGATCTTGTTGCTGTTGGAGCGTTAGCTGCAGGTTCCAGGTTGGGCGAATGCGGGGCAACGTACCGCTCACCCTCGCCAGAGGCAAGGCTGTACTCGAAGTCGTAGACGGCGTAGCGGGGGCCCTTGCCAACAGCACCCTGATGCATTGTTAGAATTGTCTTTGAAATGCAGCATTGCGTCGCGGAATTGCAGCGAAACATACGCTCTTGGACTTGGTCTGGGCGTTGATCAGCTTCTCGCGGAAGTTGTCATAGTCCTTATCGGCCGAGGCCTCCTCGACGACAATCTCCTTGTTGTCGTCCGAAAGCTTGTAGATGATGTACTTGTACTTCTTGGAGAGCTTGAGCTCGTTGTAGGCCGTTATGCACTCCTGAGAGACTTGCGCTCTAGTGGGGAAAATCGGGTTAGCATGCGCCGCCTTGCTGAGGTGAGGTGGTAGATGGAGCCAGCTTGTCCTGCTCCGCCGGGATCGTCATCGAACGAGCGGTAGAGTCGCCCATTAGATGGTGAGTCGGCGCAGAGGTAAGAGGCTCTTCGGAAGGGGAAATACGAACCCGGATTGAGACTGCGATTGAGATTAGCATTGTGTTTTGGTAGACGGCTGATCCTTGGAAGCTTTTAGTTACTCACCATGATGCTGGTTTATGGCGGGGGTGTGGCTAGGAGAAGAGGCGGGAAAGTGGGCTGAGAGCAGTTTAGCAACTAGAAAACAGGAGGGAAATTGAATGATTTAAAACTGTTTGCTGTGCAAAGCAAAATGGAAAATGGGGGTGCCTACTTCGAGATCGAGTGGTTCGGTCGGGAGATTTGCTGCACGGAGGGTGGTGGCAGAAAAAGAGGCAACAGCTTGCTTTCGGGTGATGAGGTATCTTGGACAGGAACGGAGGAGTTGGGTCACAGTGGAGGGGAAGCGGGCGAGAAAAACACCCGCATGGTGGGGTTGTTGTCCAGGTGAGATTGGAGCACGTGACTATCTGCGTCAGCCACAGGAGGTTGACGAATCCCACCCCAGGCGGCAGTCAACAGACAGGGCCTGAACTTGGAATCTCTTGTTGGGGGGACAGCCCATTGCAAGGGGCGGCGAGCTCCTGTTGCTTGGTTAAAAAAACACAAGAAGTCATCACCAAAAAACACATGATGGGTGCCTGTTTACGTGACGTGGACCGGGCTGCACTTAACGGTTGCCTACCTTACTTGTCAGCACGAAGCCAAGGAACTCTACCACTTAAAGTAGCGGCCGAAACACTGGCCCAATTCTTCAAGCTGTCACTGAGCTGTTAACTAAGTAGCTACCGATCGACGTCAACACACCGTGCACAGCTCCAGTCTAGTCAATGCATGCATTTGCTCTTTGTCTTGTTATTCTTTAACTCGTTTTGCTTTCTTTCTTCATCTTACATAACTTGCTAGTGCTATTGTACAATACAGAGCTCTCAAGTCCCCTCAGGGATACTGCTGCGTAAAAGGGGGAAAGAGGGGAGATTAGTACAAATGGCCGCAGTTATACATCCTTTTTAATAGTAACACCAATGCCCATGCCCCTCGCCCAGTTGACTTTTTTTAATACAAGAAGACATTTTGATCATGGATCATGTTTTTACATCATACCACCCATGCCTCCCATTCCGCCCATACCACCCATACCGCCCATAGGAGGAGGTCCCTTCTCTTCGGGAGCCTCAACGATGGCGACCTCAGTGGTACCGAGCAGGGAAGCAACACCGCTGGCGTCAACCAGACCGGTGCGGACGACCTTGAAGGGGTCAAGAATACCGGCGGCAATCATGTCGACGTACTCGCCCTTGGAGGAGTCGAAACCCTTGTTGAACTCGCTGGCGAACTCATCGGTGAGCTTGCCGACAATGACGGAGCCCTCAAGGCCAGCGTTCTCGACGATGGCACGAGCAGGGCGGGTGATGGCGTTCTTGACGATGGTGACACCAAGCTGCTGGTCGAAGTTGGCGGTCTTGACGTCCTTAAGAGCAAGGGCAGAGGCCTTGATAAGGGCGGTACCACCACCGGGCAGGATACCCTCCTCAACGGCGGCGCGGGTGGCGTTCAGGGCATCGACGAAGCGGTCCTTCTTCTCACCGACCTCAACCTCGGAGGAGCCACCGACCTTGATGACGGCGACACCACCAGAGAGCTTGGCCAGACGCTCCTGGAGCTTCTCCTTCTCGTACTCGGAGGTAGTGGGGTCGTTCATGACACCACGGATCTGCTCGCAGCGCTGGGAGATGGAGTCCTTGGCACCCTCACCGTTGAGGAAGATGGTGTCCTCCTTGGTGATGGTGATGGAGCCGGTGGAGCCGAGCATGTCGGGGGTGGCCTTCTCGAGCTTGATGTCAAGCTCCTCGCTGAAGACGGTACCGTTTGTGAGGACAGCCAGGTCACCGAGGATGGACTTGCGGTTGTCACCGAAGCCGGGGGCCTTGACGGCAGCGACCTGGAGCTGGCCACGGAGCTTGTTGAGAATGCAGACGGCGAGAGCCTCACCCTCAATGTCCTCGGCAATGATGACGAGAGGACGTCTCAGCTGGGTGGAGGCCTCAAGAGCGGGAATGATGTCCTGGACAGCAGAGATCTTCTTCTCGGAGAGGAGGATCAGGGGCTTCTCGAACTCGACCTTCTGGGACTTGGCGTCGGTGATGAAGTAGGGGGAGACGAAGCCGCGGTCGAAGCGCATACCCTCGGTAACCTCGAGCTCGTCGACCAGAGTCTTGCCCTCCTTGACGGTGATGACACCCTCCTTGCCGACCTTCTCCATGGCCTTGGCAATCAGGTTGCCGACCTCCTGGTCACCGTTGGCGGAGATGGTGGCGACTTGGGCAACCTCCTCGCTGGTGGAAATATCTCTCTTGTTCTTCTGGAGGAAAGCGACGACCTCGTCGACAGCAGCCTGGATACCACGGCGCAGGTCCATGGGGTTGCAGCCAGCGGCGACGTTCTTGACGGTCTCGGAGAAGATGGAACGGGCGAGGACGGTGGCGGTGGTGGTTCCGTCACCGGCGGTCTCGTTGGTCTTGGAGGCGACGTCCTGGATGAGGCGGGCGCCGAGGTTCTCGAACTTGTCCTTAAGGGTAATTGCCTTCGCGACAGTTACACCGTCTACGAATCAGTCAGCTTTTTGATGGAATGCAACTCAATTGCATGTTTCCTTACCCTTTGTGATCTTGGGGGAGCCATAGCTTGACTCAATGAGGACGTTGCGACCCTTGGGGCCAAGTGTTGTCGCGACGGCCTTGGCCAGAGTATCGGCACCAGCGAGCAGGGCAGCACGGCCCTCAACACCGAACTTCAGCTCCTGTAGACTGAGTTAGCATCCTGAAGCTGATGGCATTGCCAATGCTTCGCGACGTGTTGACGAACCTTGTGGGCAAAGCGAAGCTGCTGTCCCAGGCCGGCACCGGCACGGAACTTGCTGGGAGCAGCAGAGAGGACGGAAGCTCTCGCGCGGGAAGAAAGAGCGCGCTGCATCTTGAATCTTATTATGAGGGTATCTAGGTAAGAAAGAAGAAATACAGAACTAAGGATTGAAGGTGTCGCCGGGTTTGAATCACACGTGTCGCTCCAAGGAGATGAAGTAAAAAGTTGCAGTGAGTGATAGAATTGGAGAAGCTTCCTGTCACCGGCTCCAAAAATTTATCTCGGACGTTCGGCTAAACGAGGTCCCTTCTGGGGCGCCAGTACAAAAAGGGATTAGCGCAGTTGTGGGTGCATTTCTACCGTCTTCCAATGGCATCTGTCTCTATTCTCAGCATCCGCACATGGTAACCCCTAGTGACCATTGCCGAATATTGACATGGGTTCGTCCATCGGAGAACATCGGCGGACGATCGACTATGGGGTTTCTCCTGAGCAACTGCACCGACTTACCAAGCAATACGAAGTAATGGACACATAGCATGAACCCCAACGTTGTAGCAGCTCAGCAAACATTGGATGGCACTTTAAGCAAGTCACGAGAACTGCCATCCGAGCAATGCGTTAGCCGCATGCGAGTTACACCTAGATTTAACGGTGCAACGTTTCAAACAAGCTTCTTTTCTTAGTCTCCTCATAGGTGCGCATGCCTCGACTTTATTGCAGCTGCTCACTGTACTTGAAACATCAAGAAACGGAGCGCCGGCGCCGTGGCGCCGTGATGCAACCCCTAACCTCTTGGCCGCGCTATCGCAAGGATGAGGATGCTACTACAAGGGAGTTAGAGGGCCTGCTGCGCGAGACCGAGTTAGAATAGGTACGATCTTCTTGCAACATATATCCTTAATTTCCAACTCGCTTGGGCTAGGGGCTGGAGTAACCTCCTAGATGGCAGTGTTCTTGGAGTATAAGAAGGGGTCGGTCGAAGACAAAGACACGGAAGATATTGCAAGATCATCACTAGCATCCAATACTATAATCTCTCAAATACACATTCACTCTTTCTGCAAACATGAAGTTGTCACTCCTTGCCGTCATCGTGGCCTCCGCCTCTGCCGCTCAAGGCGCCATCACCTGGACCCTTGAGAAGGCTGCCAACCCCACGGCCGACCAAACCGACGCGTACACCAAAATCGAAGCCGCCATGAAGCTGGCCGTAGCAAGACATGCAAAGCAGGGAAAGGCAAGCAAGACAATCCGTGTCTATTACACGCCCGGCGTTCCTACTGCCGAGGCCAACTACAACGGTGACCTCCGCTTCGGATCGAACCGATCTTACATGAACGAGCGTACGGCGCTCCACGAGATCTCCCACACACTCGGCGTTGGACAGACTGCCGCCTTCGACTCCAAATGCGCGTCCGGTAACTGGGCTACGGCATTGCCCTTGCTTCGCTCCTGGGATGGTTCCAGTGCCAAGATCAGCTGTGGCGGCTCGCATTTCTGGCCGTACGGGCTCAACTATGATACCGAATGGAGCGAGACAAACGCGGACCGTCACGTAAAGATCATCAACGCCATGATTGCTGATGGTATGTAAGGAGAGAGGGAGTCTACATTTACCAATTCGTGTACAAATTTCATTAAACCAGGATTGAACCCAATGGTTCATTCTACTGTACATACATTACAAGACCGGAAGAAGCAAATCGTCCTGGCCTTTTGTTAACACAACTTTCGATCTCAACAAGACTGCAGCGTTTCTCGTGAGATCCCATGCTTCCACTTATCTCTGAGGCCTGTCATGATTGAGTTTCGTGAATTAAACGTGAGATCCGGCGGAAGGCGGTTGCAGAAGCTTGAACTGAAGTGTTCAAGATGGTACAATTCGTTGGTCTGCTGTGTCTAAATCTAGTGATGAATTTGCTCCAGGCGATGCTACCGATTGATCCAAAGTGAGGAAAGCGGAAAACGGAAGAGGCAAAACTTCCGTGCGAGCAACCCTGTTGCTGTTGCACTATCTCATCAGCAGCAGTATCTGCGTCATCTGTTGTAATAACTATCACACCGTAAACATTCTTCGCCCTCAGAAGCGACCAAGGGAAAATGCTACCAGAGGTGTGGTGAAAGACGGAAATGAGAAGAAGGAAAGCAGAGCAAACAACAAAAGCAGACACGACGGCATCTATCTCCTATCCTCATGCTACCTCCAACGCCAAAGTTCGTAATACCCCAACGAAATTCAAGGACTCGTTATCAATTCTAGTGTGCTGAAAGCCGTGGGTTATGTAACTCCATGGCGCGTCCATCGTTTCAGTGGAACTGAGTGAAGTCGAACAAATTCGAGTTGAATTCCTTGAAGTCGAGTTCCTGATCCTCGCCCACATGAGTGGGGCCAGTAGCTGTGACATGGTGATTGGCATGGTGATTGGCATCTTCATGTAGGTGATGTTCACATTGAAAGCCACCGTTGAATCCACCATTGACGACATCACCGAAGCCATCGCTCAAAGCCCGAAAAACGGGCTCATTGAGTGATGAAGTGCCCGGGGATAGATTCGTCGTCGCAGTGCTGCCAAACGGGGTTGCGGCACCAGCTTCCTGACCATTGAGGCCGTCGAGATAGCTGCCCAGGTTGACCGGGATCGGGATGGCATATGTCGTATAGCCATTCTCGGTTCGCATCGGGTACATGATCTCGGAGCCGGATATCAAAGAGACGCCACCACTGACGCTCGCAGGCACCTTGAAAAGATAGTATGCCATGGGAGGGAGACCCTCGACAAATATTCGTGCTTCGTTTGGGGGCTCGTCATGCTTCCAGGCTTCGATCGCCTGCCTATACAGGCCGTTGCCCTCATTGAGATGCTGAGCCTGCCATTCCTGATTGGTTTGTTCTACTTGGTTATGCTGGCTCGAATACTGCGTCAGGGGAAATGGCTGCTGCTGGAGCTGGGCGTCATTCTGGGCATCGTGTTGGGCCAGACTGAACTGTTGAACGTGGTGAAACAGCAATTCTCCAGCCTGTTGCTGAGGATTGGGGATGTTGTGAATCCGGTGATTCGACTGCGCTTCGTCGTTGTGGACATAGTGACCCGACTGAGCAGGAGCCTGGTAAGGAGACTGATGGTGGCCCTGGACAGAAGGAACCTGAGAGGACTCTCCATTCTATCCGATGTCAGTGAACGCGGAAGAAGTGTTGGATCAAAATTTACCTTTCTGGGAGCCTCATTGATATTCAAGAACCCCTCGTCATCGTGTTCATTCACCATGGCATCATCAGCCTCGCCATCATCCGATTCTACCTCGCCTTCTGCGTTGGTCACCAACTCCTAGTTGTCGCCTCGCTGGCAGGGTTGGAGAAACGGCTCATCGAAGCCGACGGGTCTGATAGCATCCTCATTCTCGGCGGTCGGCGCATTGGTATAGCCGCGGATGTTCTGATCTCTCTCCAAGCTCTTGGCCTGGCTGGGGAGAGGCGGAACACAGTAGCCCATCTTGAGAAGTCGCTTGCGCTCTCGGGCAAGGAATTGGGTGAATGCCGTTGGTGTAACTCCGGTGAAGCACTGGGGAATGACATCATCCCAGGGCATCTTGCCGTGCTCTTTGGCACAGATATACTGCACCCAAAGGAGTGTCACAAGCAAGGGTTCTTCCTCTGTTCCTACAATCAATCGCCATGAACACTATTCCGATAAAAAGGATTCTACTTACTCCTCCACTGGATGAGGGCCCGGTTTTTTGGGCGAGTGGTGATCTTGACACCCTTCTTAGGGACTTTCTGTTCTTTGGCAGAGGTGTTCTTTCTCGCCGTGGTATTCTTTCGGACTTTGGCATCCTGTTTCGCTCTCGGGATATCAAGGAGCTTGCCCATGGACTTCTTGGAAGGCGCCATTGTGACAGCTGAAAGCGGATTTTGTTAGTACGGAATGCTATCACTGAGTTCTGCGCAAACGACAGAATGCCGGTTTCCAAGCAACAAAAGAAGCCAAAGATGGGTTCATACAGACAAGAGAATGGTGAACCGCAAATCATCAGACGAAAGCAATCTATCTTAAATAGAACGCAGTCTTTGTGTAACGGAAGGTTAGGGGGAGAAGCAACGTGAAGAAGGAGGGTCAAACCAAAGGAGGGATGAGGCATGACTTACCACGGTGATGTCAAGTAAATGAGTGAGGAGTGAAGAGTTTTGATGGGCGATGCGTGAGTCTGAATCGTCTGAATATATGCACGAGGTGTTGAGGAGCACTTCTCGTAGTGGTCGTGATCGAGATGAATACGGAAGGGATCTATAGCGTTTGGTGTCTTGTGGTAGGCAATTGAAGATAGACGCTGTAATGGACGCGGAAAAGGAGAGAAGTCAGAATAGGAGACTTTGAATGGGTGTGGGTGAAAGAAAGAAGAGTAAGCTGGGAGGCGGTCAGAGTCGCGAGGGTATTGACACAGAAGGGCGGTTGGGGCCCGTGGGTGGGCAGGTCGGCATCGACCCCACTTGAGGTGGCTCTTCCGACAAGGTGTGAAGGCGTCTGCCTCGAGCAGAAGCAGAAGACGCGTTGGGAGTGTTTGGGTTGCCGAAGGTGAGGGAAGCGAACGCGTTTGGGAGACTCGGTCACGGTCTGCCAGGCAACCCGGTAGTCAGGCAGTTTTAACAGATTTGGGAATGCCCTCAGGCGCTGCCAGGTGGCGGTGTCACTTCTGATGGTTCCTATACGGTAAAGAGTATCATTCGTATTGATATGCCCCTAAGGTGCGCAAGAAGAACGACTGTGATGTTTCTAGTCATGCCCATGAGATGACAGACATCATCTTCTTCTCACGAGACTGGTCAGGTATGACAGCAATTCCGGCAGGCAAGAAACAGATGCTAATTTGATACTTTGTGTTGTTTTGAGTGAGGTAATCGACTCACGGTGAGACTTTTGCATCTGAATGATCCCATCGGCTGGAGCAACAAAAGGTCAAATTGAGCACAATCTTGATTTCACGAAGGAACAAGTTACTCAATGCGAAACGAATTATTAATCTCGTGGTACGTACGAGTCAAACTACCAGTGATCTACAAAACCAATTTCCTCCCATCATGCCTTCCATCTTTCCAAAGCTTGGTGATCGGATGTGTTGTGTACGTCTCAGAGGGGGAGTGCTGGCCACAAAGTCGGACAGCTGAATGTTGAAGCCTTGTCATGAGCTTCATTACTTGGAACCTGCCTCCTTCTTCGATTGTCCTCTTCCAGTGATGACCCGCAAGAATCTTCTGAATCTCGACTTCGTGGGCTGCGTGTTCATGTGCAAGGTCTGGGCATATTCTTGTCCTGATGCACGGACTGCAGAAACGACTGCCTGGTTGCTTCCGCCAAAGAGCTCTCCACCAACCGCTTGGCACTGTTGGCCCTGTGTAGCAGTAGCGTATCCAGGTGGCTGGTCGAATTGGGCCTGCTGTTGCGTGAATAGTTTCTTCTGATGAGGCGTGGCTGACAGATGCTCCCTGACAGCGGCTTGAACTGCTGCTGCAACCATGGTTGGGATGTTGGATGTGAGTCGCTGTAGATCTGTGTTGACGATGTTCAATGCTTGGTTGATCATCGTGACGGATCCATTGAATGTGTTACCCTGAGCCGCCAGAATTGTATTGAGCGTGTTCAACTGCATGCCCATTGCATCCGTAGAAGTGCCGACAGCGTCATTGAGGGCCGATAAGACAGAGCTGAGTGTACTGAGTTGGGCTGCCATGGCTCCGTCAAAGCCATCAAGCTGATTATCGAAACGACTCATGTTGCCCTCCATGCGAGTTGCATTCATGCGCAGAGGGTTGGCGACGTCAAGAAGAGTGCGCTCCGCAATCTGCATGAACTCCTCGGCGATGGCGTCCAAGTCGTCTTGGGTGGGGTTGTTGATGCCCTTGCGCTGAAGTGCCGCCTGTGTAATCTCTAACATGCGCGCTTCCTTGTTGATTGAGCTCATCCAGTTTTGAACTCGGTGATCCACCTCTTGGAAGTTGGCTGGAGCTCCCTGCATCTCATCGCGAGTCTTGATGCGACGAGCAATGTCGACCTTGATGACGTTGTACTGCTGGGGAGGAGGATGGATGGCAGGGTCACCCCGTGCATCTCGGAGACGCTGAAGATGTTGGTAGTCCTCGACTGTGGTCTGAGGGTCATTGATGGTGGAGGTCGTAAGAGGGAACTCTCCGGTTTTTCGTGCTTGGATAAGTTCATCGCGCATCGCCTGCACTTGGCTTGGGGCGTATGGAGTGTTGCCCACCAAGACATAGTTGGCGAAGCTTGGCGTCACGACAAAATGGGCCTGAGCAAGACCGGAAGACTTCTCTGTGTCTTCGTTCTCAGTGGTCGGAAACGACACCTCTGTGTCAGTAGGGGAGTCGGGCGAAGAGAACAAGCTGTTGGTATTGCTCGAAGTGTTGGATCGGGGCGACGAGGCGCCAGACGAGAGCTCCCAGTGAGTGCCCATGTTGGCACGAGGGGAGAGCGGAGAGGTAGACATTGCAGCGCGATGAATTGATGTCGTAATTGCAATCCCGCGATGGAGGATGAAGAGTTTGATGACTCCGTCTGCTGGGGCGATTAGTTATTTGTCCAAACCTCGCGACCTGAGGTGAGAAGAAAGAAAAAGAGGCGAAAGAGGCCGCGGCCGACAAAATACTCACCGGTTGGTCCAGAAGCTGGAGATGTAGAAAGGAAGAAATACTTCTTCTTCGACGGAAGCGAGATGCTTTGCTTGTCGTTTGATGGATTGCACGAAAATTGATTTCGTCAATCGTTCGTCTGGTAGAGGGGACGGTTGCCGCGATGAAGAAGGGAAGAAGAAAAAGACAACTTCGCTGAGTTGTGGGAGGGGGAAGAAATCAAATTTGCGTCTATGGCCCATGCAGAGGAAAGCCGGAAAATTTTGGGGGCAGTAGTTTGTGTGCTCTCGGCTGAGCTGGCCGAAAAAGGTTGCCTTGGTGAGGTGAGGGAAGGAGGCGAGGTGGGAAGAAGATGGGAGGAAGGTGCGATGAGAAGGTGAGGTGTGGATGGGGCACTCTGGTTGGCTGCAGGGTCTCCAGACTGAGAGGTTAGGCAGAACGTCCCCGGGTGTAAGTGAGCATGAGATGCTCCAGTTGGCCTCAGGTTTCTCCGAGAGTGCGTGAGATGTTTTCTGAGATTGAAATTGGGAAGGAAGGAGGGAAGTGCAGAGGGAAGTGCACCTGCCTGATGTATGCTTACCTGTCTAGGTTGCCTTTGTGACCACCCGAGGATGCTGGAAGCCAACACGCTCGTATCCTTGGTGACTTATCACGTTACCATAGATATCTTGCGTCCAGAAGATTCAATTGTCAATGCGAGGTTTCTCTGTGCTCTCGAATTTAAGATGCAGACCATGTGAAATGAAGTTGGCTGGCATCGGTGGAAGATAGTTGATGCCCCAAAGGTAAACGAATTCATCGGGACGTAAATGAGCAGGAGTCACCGGCTTGGAATAACTGGTATTGTTTGAACTTATCACATGAGATTTCGATATCAATCACTCACAACATTCCCGCCGCGCGCGGAGCAGCAGCACCGTCTGAAGGCCAGAAGACCCGGGACGGCAAACAAGGCATGTGATGAAGCAAATTGGGTAGCATCATGGACCCTCATGACAGACTTACGTCATATCCTATGCGATTCAACTGGCGCAGGATACGACAAGCAATCGCTGTGGTGTCAGGCAGGCACGGAATTCCACGAGGAGGCTATCCTTACAAATGAAGTAAGGGTGTCGTTGAAATTGAGCCCCAAATGCTCCGGAAGAAGTGGGATGACCCCTGCCGACCGTTGCCGAGACAGTTCCACTTTCCCAATCAGGCAGCGCCATGGCGGAACCTTCAACGGCGCGCACCATTCTCGGGTCTCACGAAGCCTGTATGATGATCATTGCATTGCGAAAGAAGTGAACGTCACTCGTTCTATTTCTTGAGTCTCTAATTCACCCTAACCATTACCACTCCTATGTATGAGCCATCTCTGCGAGCGCATGTTGGTGAGCCATGACGGCAACATCGTCCCTGTAAAGAGCCAATCTCCATTCCTATTCAGAATTTGTTAGAAAAGTCTTGGAAGAACTAACTAAAAACTACTCACATATCCCGGCTAACTGTGCTGCTTCTAGCTCCCCATGTATCGCGCACGTATCTGGCCATGCGTAGACTGGCATTTCCGGTAGGAATCCCCAGCCCTGATAGCAAGCTGGCATGTTGCTAAATCTCGGCATGCTCGTCGGCCTTGGCACCATCTGTGTGAAACCCTCGGTATTAGTATCGCTCGAAACGGACGCGGAAGAAGGACTTCGAGATCCGCCGCAATCGTGAATCGGGCAATCGCTCGTCTTCTCCACAACGTAGAGAAGTTGCAAGTCATCATCGTCATCGCCATCGCGGCCTCGGGGGATGTCGTTGTACGAACCGTTGGTTGAGTCAGTGCCAGAGGCCTCGGGGTCGTCCTTGACCTTGAACTGAGGCAGATCCTCAGCATCGTCCTCGTCATTGTAAGACGAGACAGCCGGGTGGTTAGCCAGCTTAACGCGCTTCGTCTCCTTAGTAGGAGTCTCAGTAGGGGTGCGCTTGCCCTTCGACTTCGGCGTAGCCTTGCCCGGGGTCTTGGGGCTGGCGCTGCTGCCACCAGGAGGTGCAGCACTGCCTATGGGGCCAGCCTTGGACAAGTCGCTAGTCTTCATGCCATGAGGCTTGAGGATGCGCTCGAAACGCTTGGCACTGGACGGCATGCCAGGTCAGCTTGTTCCTGTCGAAAACTTGACGAGGAGCGTGGGAAGAAAATTGACTTACGCAGCGGCCTTGGACGCGATGTTGCAATCGGTAGCAACCGCCTGGAAATCGATCTGTTCTTGTTAGATGATTTGAGTCTCTAGATGTAATCAAGTGATATGGCACTTACCTTTCCACCGGAAGAATGCTTGATGCAGTGAACCAGGAAGGTCACCTGGCCCTCAGCATCGGTTCCGACAGAAGCCATCTTGAGTTGAGTATGGGTATTGTTGGGGGAAGTTAAGTATGAGTAGTCTTAAATGAAGATGAATTCCGAAAGCAAAGCCCAAGAGCTGGAAGGTTGAGGGGTTGTTGTGAAGAAGAGTTGGGTTAGTGAGAAGTTCTGGTGAGAGGCTGGCTCAAATAGTCAAGCTTGGTCTCTGATGGGCTGGATTGGCAAGAACCCAGGAGATGAGGCGGGTACAAGTGATTCAAGATGTGGACAGGTTAGGCAGGTGCTTGAAGGCTCTTATCAAATATGGCGGGAGCAGTCCGGACCTCAGTGGGTAGTCAAGACGAAAGACGATGGCAGTCTGGATGAAAGGCGAGAACAGTCTGGACGAAAGGCAAGACACTTGACGACACTTCAATGATCAGGTGATAAGGCGAGAGCTACTCAGACAAGAGGCAGGAACAACTAGTTCAGAATCTGGCTGATCAGGCAGTTGACTAAAGGAACTTCACTGTGCTAGCGGGAGAACTTTGGATACACATTTGAATATTAGACCATATGGTGAGATCTATCTACCTGAGACAAGAGGCACTCACAGGTGGTTCAAATCATGAATGAGGCAGATCAGTCAAGTGGCTGAAGGGTCGTATCAATAATGGAGAGGATGCTCTAATCGAAAAGAAGACCAGACGAAATAGCGAGAGCTACCTAATCAGACAAGAAGCAAGACTATGCGGTTCAAAAGGTGACAAGAGGCAAGGCAGTTGGTCAAAGAGATTAAAACAAATGGCGAGCAAAGTCTGGACGAAAAGAAAACCAACCGACAACACAATGATCAGACATTATTCAGACAAGGCGAGAGCCACAGAAAGAACGGGAATAACAATCTAGATCTCGAGACGATTCCAAGAGATAGCTATATGAACCAGACCCTGCTTGATGGACTATTCCTTGACCTAAAGACAATTTTCAGACCCAGAAAAATCAGGCTGAGCTTCAAGAAATCAAGAAATGAAGGGCAAATAGGTAGGCTTCACGATGACATTATGGTTTCGAAAAGGATACGGCTTATGAGACGAGTTAGAATTGAGTTGCTCAAGCTAGCATATCCTGCTATCACCCAACCCCAATCCAGATATTCCCCACGCTAAGACCATATGCAGAGAGTTCGCCGGCTTCGTATCCCTTTTCTGCTGAGCACTGACTGAAACACAGCGTTCAGTCACAGCGGGGACATTCAGTCGGAGTCGCTATCCGGGTTATTGAGCTCTGCCTTGGCAGCAGCTTCGCCATCGGTGTCGGACTCGAGCTTGCCCGAGATGTCCTCGTCAACGTCAGAGCCGGAAGACTCGTTCTTCTTGGCGGTCTATTAATGGTCAGCATCGGTACTTAATGGAGGAAATATTATGAAGGTTGAAGAGAAAGAAAATTCCGGGGAATGAATTACAAAAAAACATATCATACGACTCACCTTCTTCTTGCGCTGGGCGATGCCCTTCTTCTTGACGGGCGTCTTCTTCACTCCGACAGGCTTCTTAGCAGGGCTGCCACCGCTGGAGCCATCGGTGGCGGACCAGCCATGTTTCTTGGAGATGGTACGAAGGCGGTCTCTGGCACTCTTGCCATTGGCCAAGCCCATGATACCGGCGACGTTTTCATAGTCGATGTCAGGGCGCGTGTTCATGCTGTCAAAGACAGCCTTGACGAACCTGGCCTCGGTTTCCGTGAGGATGGGGACGGCGGACTCGCCCTCGGTAGCAGTGGACTTCTTGGGAGGCATTATGCTAGCTCAAGTCAGTAAAAATCTTCAGTGAAGGCTTCTCAAGTATGAGATATTTGAGAGTAAAGTAGCTTACGATGGCGTCCGGTGATGTATAGGTATCGATGTGGAGAGTAATGCTGGATTTTGCAAGTTGTCTATGTGTCTGCTGAGTGACCTGGGAAAAGTGTGGGAAGAAGGAAGAAAGAAAATTTCGGCTTCAGCCTCGGTAGGAGGGGTTTTGAGTCCCCCATAGGCACCGGTCCATCAGTCGAGAAGGTGCCCTCACTCAGAGTACCCGCCTTGTGAGGCTGCTGTGCTCGTACCGGGCGGGAGCAGATCCGTCAACGTTCCGTCAAGTTAGGCTACCGAGGGAGGCTGGCGATACTGAAAACTGGAAAAGTGTGGAAAGATAGATAACAATGGAGGCGAGAAGATACAAGAAGAGCAAAGAAAACTGACAATTCTGATGGAGGGAAAGATCAATGAATGAAGGACCTCATCACAAGTGACTTCAAGGTTGTTTTGCTGAACCTATATTTTTCTTACTGACATATTGAGGCCTGAAGAGATCGGGTCAGACTCAATGGTGATGGGCAGTGGCTTTTGGGTGTTGCAGACTTACTCACCCTGAGAATCAGACCAGACATGAAGCGTGATCTCACACATGGACAGATATTACTCGAGTGGCGTATGGACTTGAACATCCCCAGAAGTCACGACGAGAAGGGTAACGGTGTTTCTGTAAACTCGAGATCGTATTGAATCCCTGGCTGGGCTATCCCCAGATTATCCTGGCCCCGTAGACATATCGCATAAGCCACGCCTAGAAGCCACCTCTCCAAAGATCTGCATTCCTGAACATCCACTCCTTCTCGGCAAATCTGGTGGTCGAGAAGTCTTCTCAGATGTCGAATACTTCTTCCTTGGTTTCGATGACAGCCTTGTCATCATCGGCCTCGTCCTCTTCCTCCTCGTCCTTGACGATCTTCTTGCCCTTGGCGGCCTTGGCGCCGACTCGTCCGGTAGGCTTCTTGACCTTGGAGGCAGAAGTCGGGGTGCTGGCAGAAGCCTGCGCGGTCTTCTTCTTGGGGGTGGCAGTGGCCTGGTCTGCCGGGGTGAACTTGCGCTTGATTTGGCCCCAGCGGGTCTGAAAGTCAAAGTGTCAGCACCTGTTGACTGCCTAAGTATTTTTTTGTCAAGGGGAACGCGAACGTACCCGAGCGACACCTCCGCTCTTGAAGCCAGCGGCAATAGCGAAGCTGTCCCAGTCAATGACAGGCTTTTCGGTCATGTGCATAAACACATGACACATGAAGTTGACATCGGAGGCGGACATCTCGGGGAGGTTCTGGTCAGCCATGGTGTTCTTCTGGAAGATTTTTGTCAGCTTGATAAGTTCACTTTGGAAGGAATAATCGGTCAGAGCATACTTTGGCAAGTTCCTAGTGTGGTGAAGGTTTCTGAAGTGCGACCCAGGTATTTTGGCTAAATTTTATTAGTATTTTGGGAAAAATGAAAAATGAAAAAAAGGAAAAAAGGCATTTTTGACTGAAGGAAGACTCACTATTATTATCTTTGTGACTTTGTGAGTGTTGCAGAAACAGGTATTTTGTGGTTATGGGCGCGTGGTTGTGGGGGGTGAAGAAGTTTTGAGGCTCATTTGCGTGTGGATGATTTTAAGTCTGGAGGGCAAGTGAATCGAAACGGAAAGAGGAAAAAGTTTTTCGTGCTGCAGTAAAAAACAGAAGGAACTAGGCAGATGGAAGGAAATATGAGTTGACCAGGCAGTGAGGCGGTCGACGGTGGTCCCGGTCTCTCATACTTAGCAATAAGGTAGATGAATATAGATTTACCCTCGATTTTGATAGAGATTCTGAATACATGATAGGCGAATAATCACAGTTCTCAAGTGAATATGAGGCTAAGGCAATCGCGTCTGTCGCTAGGTTATCAGGAGCCATTCAACATTACGGACTTGACATCTGGACTTTTGACTTTGTTCACATACGGTGGCACCTCTGAAAATCGTTTCTTCCCGAACGCCTATGATTAATATTATTCTAGGGTTATGTGACGAGGTGACATGGGATTTCAACAGCTATCGGGTGCCATGGCCCTCCTGGGTACAGCCACGGCAACCACAAAGATCGCGATGTTAATTGAGTACAAATAAACCCAAGAGACTCTCACTCTTTCCAAATGTTCAGGGGGCTGAGATTGTATGTTTGATGGGGATTCGGCACAGAATACCCCTAGTATTATGATTCCACACAGTCACAATCTCGTTGGTACAAGAATTACCTTGTGCATTTCGACCGGCAGATACTGGCAGCCACCTTCCTGCCTAATGATTGAACACATGATATGGAGAAAAGAAACCCATGCTCGAAGCAAATTTCATGGTAAACGGGGTTTGCAAGCATGTAGATGTTGGCTATGGCTCCGATGGGGTTCTACACACCCGGCCAACAAAACAGAGTCCTTGGCGAGCCGTTGGTTCACGACTTAACCCACCGAATCGGGAATACTGCTCGTTGCATCCTCCAATCAGCGATGAACAGATCGGATAATGTTTTGAGGGGCCTGGGGAAGGTGCCAGGGTGAGGGAGTCTTTTCCGACACGGTCGCAGTTCAATTTGATGCGGCACAAGACGACCCCGGCCACTAGATTCTATGTCTTTTGCCATTTTGCGATATTCGAGTCCGAAGACCTGCAACTCCCTCCAAATCATCTCGATGCAGAACCACTAAATCATGCCGAAAGAAGAAGTCTACGATCTTCATCCTCACGGTTGGGAGAACGACCCAGAAGTGGAGAGATTCAGAGTCTCTACCCTAGATTATTTGACGTGCCAAACATATAACCACTACACCGTATTCTTCCGCCTAGACGATGCCGTCAAACCAAGAGTGATCGAAGTTCTGAAAGCAGGTCTTGAGACAACGCTTGCTCAGGTCCGCCAGTTGAACGGAAGAATCGAGAAAGACCCTTGGGGCGACTACTCCTTCACCAAAAGAAAGGACTCGACCGTCCGCTTCGTCGTTCAATGGCTTGATGCCCCAGAGGATGCCGACAAGTATCCGTCCTTCGATGACATCGAGAAAGCCAACTTCAGCGCCGTGTCCCTCGGCGATCTCAGGCTCTGGGCCGTGTCACCGATGACCTACGGCGAGAGGCCCGAGGCGACTCCGGAACAAAGTCCCGTCACGGCAGGCTTCAAGGCAAACTTCGTCCGCGGCGGACTCGTCTTCAGCACGCACCACCACCATTACTCCCAAGACGTCATGGCCTGGGCCGGCTTCATCCACCAGCTGGCCGAGAATTGTTCTGCGTTTAGCAATGGCACTCCCTACCCTTCGTGGGACCCGGCCTGTAATGATGTCTCCCGCTTTCTCAAGCCCGAGCCTCCAGAGGAAGAGAAGGTTGATGGACCACCGCCGCCTGACAGACACCCAAGCCACAAAGTCGGAATCTGCCTTCTCTTCCATCTACCAAATAGTAAAGCCGCTCAGCTGAAAGGCCTTGCAAAGCCCGAGAACGATACGTGGATCTCGACTTACGACGCCTTTTCTGCCTTCATGTGGCGGCACATGACACGTCTTCGAGCCCCGGTATTCAAGACTCCGCCAGACTCAAAGCTCTTCTGGTGCGAGACCATCGACATGCGTCGACGTCTGCACAGCCCAAAGGTGCCCGCTCGCACTCAGCAAAACGTCATGTACGTGGCCATGTCTACGACGGCACCCGTGGAACAACCCACGGTATCGGAGCTCATCTCAGACTGGCCCTTCTGGCGGGTAGCTCGGTATGTGCGACAACTGACGGGCAGCGTGACGCAAGAAAGTCTCGACGAAACGCTTAAGATGGTGGCGACGATCCGCGTGAAGTCGAGTCTCAACTCAAGAATCGATTCGCATCCGCCCATGTCGACCATTGTGGTAGACCACCGTGACGCCAATATTCCTTCGGCAGACTTTGGCTTCGGGAAGCCTGCGACTTATCGGTACCTAATGGGTCGAATCTCTGAGGGAGGCGTGCTTGTCTACCCGCCTCGGGATCCGAGGCCTGAGTCAGATGAGGGTCCGGAGATTGCCATCATGTACGAGAAGGAACTGGCTCAGGCGCTCATCGAGGACTCTGAGTGGAACAAGTTCTTCGAATACAGGGGCGTTGATGCCGAGCATACCGAGGTGTAGATATGGCAGATACCTAAGAAATGCGATGTTCAGCTTCTTTTTTCTTCCTCGTCTGTGTGGATTGTTTGAACCATCATCACTTTTCAAGCTGTTGATTCGGCATTCTCGATGACGAATATCAAGTTGTGCAACACCAAACCCTTTTCCCAGTTAATGCTCCCTGTTGCCATAGTTCACGACTCCTAAGTATCCTTTGAGCCTGTTTGACACCTAAGTGACGTCTGAACTATGTCGCGCAGCCCAGTACTTAAGTACCTGGTATGTCCAAATCGAGGTAAGTACAGCTAATTCTGATACTGGGATGATCTTAAGGAAACCAGTATCTCGCCGGAGAGGTGCCAAGGAACACCAGTGATGCTTTCTTATACCAGACACGGCTCCCACGTGAACAGATGGGTGCTGACACACTCGCAATTTCAGCTTAGGAATCGGCGCCTCCACTCTGACATGGCGGCATCGGTTCCCGATGGTCTCCACAACGGAGCGGGACGCATCTCACCAAGCAAAGCCACCGCCTTATCAAATACCAACATGGTACTTAGCTAAGCCGCCAACGTCTGCCCCGTCTTCCTATGGCCAAGTAGGCAGGACGTCATATTCTGAAGCTCTGCGTTGGCGGGGCTGGGGAAATGAGGTTCTGCAGCTCGTCTATCTTACTCAATGCTTTGCTAACCTTGCTTGCACTGCGTGAGGTAAGGTAGATTCTTCTCGGTCACATCGAATTTGTCGAGCTTAGTCAAGCCCACGCATCAACTTCCCCCCCAGCAATGAGATCTCGGATGAAAGGCCAATTCCATGATGGAGACCGGATTTACAGAGAAGAACGGCACTGGTAACCTTTCTCCGCAATCACAATATGCGGGTGTGGGTCGCACCGAGCGGAGTTCCACCTCGAAGCAACCCAGGACCGCTCGGTAAGCGTGAACCACCCAATGACAAACATCGCAAACTACCGAAGAGGCTTGATGGGTTCGCTGTGGCATTGGATGAACCAGGGGAGCTTACTAACGTCCAACGTCTTGGTTACCGAATGCTTGCCAAAAGCCATACGCCTTTTCCCCATCGTCAACTTCAGCATGTTTCCTAATGGGGAAATTTCCCATCAAGGAGGGACGGGCAAGGCTTTGACGATGCCCTGCATCTTCCATGTCGACTATTCGGAATTGTTCCTTATGCTTGTGGGATTCGGATCTATTGGAAACCCCACCTGTCGATAACGTGCTTGGCTTGGTCATTGACAACCACGCATTCGTCCACGATGCTGGCTCAACGGAGTCTACTCCGAAATGAGGGACTTTGGCCACTGATGTTACTGTCACTAGAGGGCGTTTTTGCTTCCGCTGTACATCGTTAGAATTCTGTATAAGAAGAGAGAAGGGCCTTGCCTCTGATCATCGCTTTTTCTTCCATCCTCATCCAGCAGACAAATCAAGAACAGTCTCCTTCATCTCAAAGACTCGAACAACTCTCCAAAGGTCCATACCTCAAGACATCCTCTCTCACGATGAAGTTCTCCATGACTGTCGCCGTCTCGGCGCTCTTCTCCGCCGTCGCCAATGCTGATGGTAAGCTTCCCACCCAATGGCTTCATCTCAAGTCTCCTTGGATACAGCACAGCTCTACTAACACGAGCCAAAGCCGTCCCCTGGGAGAGGCTCAACAAAAACGACTCGATGCTGCTCGTCGTCGACATGCAGGAGGGTCTCTTCAACCTCGCCCGCGACTTCGATCCCACCCTCTACCGCAACTCGATGCTCGCTCACTCCTCCCTGGCCAAGGTCTTTGACCTCCCCGTCGTGCTGACCACCTCCGCCGAGACCGGTACGAGTCCATCAACCCCTCTTATTGCTCACAGATTTCTGACAAACAAAATCAACAGGTCCCAACGGTCCCCTACCCCAGGAGATCCTCGACATGCACCCCACCGCGCCCCTGATCAAGCGCAACGGCGAGGTCGACGCCTGGGACAACTCCGACTTCCGCGACGCCGTCCGCGCCGCCAACAAGTCGCAAATCATCCTTGCGGGCATCACCACGGACGTCTGCACCACCTTCCTCGCCCTCTCCCTCCGCGCCGAGGGCTACTCCGTCTGGGCCAACGTCGAGGCCTCGGGCACCACCACCGAGCTCATCCGCGACGTCTCCAACGACCGCATGGCCGCCGCCGGCGTCCAGGTCGTCTCCCTGTTCTCCATCTCCCTCGACCTCATGCGCGACTGGCGCAACACCCCCGGCGCCCTCGAGCTCTTCTCCTGGCTCGACACCTACTACCCCGCCTACGGATACATTGCCCGCGGCCACCGCGCTGCCGTCAACAACGGTTCCGTTTCTGCGGCTCAGGAGACTCTGCCTTTGTAAGACAGAAGCGGAGTAAAAAGTTGGGTGTTCTCTGGGTTGAGAATGGGAGGATGGTATGATTCCCGAAAATAATGACTATGGAAAATCCTAGGTGGTCCCAGGACGCTCGACATGGCTCCATGTACTTCATCTTCTTGTCTCTCATTGATGAGCCTCCGCGGCTATTATAGAGATTGGCATCTTTCTGGTGTCTTTGTTTCGCAACATTTCAGAATGGACTCAAAATGGACATGATAGAGAACTTTTGACTGATCTTGTCTCCTACATGGTAGGAAAAAGTGAGAAAAAGCCGCCCGCTCTTGTTCTTGAAGCCGATCGTGGAATAGCAAGACATACGGAAACCGCCCATCGCATACCATAACTTGTGGTGAACTGACTCAGTCTTATACCAACGGACCGTTTGCAGATCATCCAAAGTAGCCCAGTCCCCCGACTTCCCATATCCCGAATAGGCAAGTCGCGGGCCACCCGGCGCCGAACACACGGGCCAACACGGGGCCGACTTAGTGGATACCCGCGCCGGGGCCAGATGCAGAACGCAACGTCTTCTTCCGGGGTGTGATGAGTGGGAACCTCGACGCGGCCCGATGAAGCGGTCTACAGGGAGGGCTGTATGAGTGATCAGCGGTGAGCTGCGTGCGGTTCATGTAGGTTTGACAACCGCCGCGGATGCCGGCGGGGAGTTCCCACGCGAGAGTGCTAGGATTAGAGACTGTATGCGGATGAAGCAGCACCGTTAGGTTTCTCAGTATGTGGGTTGTTGCTTTTGACGGATACGGAGGGGGACGGATGGGAAGATCTCGATGGTTGGCATGTATGCCTCATAAGGGCTGTTCACAGGAGTCTCTGGATTCCGGCTTCACTTTCAGCTCAGGGGTAAATGGCGTTTGCGGATATTGTGCCTGGCCGCCATACATGCCTCAGAGCGCCTTCCATATCAAACTTACGGCACGATCAGGTACGGCCTCAAGGTAACACATCAAGTAACACGAAGACTTTCATCAGTTGCGAGAAACATCGGACGCCGAAGGCCAATCCACATCAAGGCAAGGTTTTTCTTTCCAGGCGGTGGACAGAAGGAATGGCGGTGGCCACTCCCGCATCATGCCAACGTTCGTCCCAAGAGCAAATGACTTTGAGTGTGGTCGATGCGTAACGCCCTCAACGGTGCCCCATACCTATCCCCATACCTTGTAGACAACACGTCACTCATCGTAGCACAAAAGGGCGGATAGCAAAAACAGAAGCAAAGAGGAGCAGTGCCCGACGAAGGGTTCCGTTCCCCTGACGATCTGGCGTACTCGATCGGAGACAACGCAGTGGTGCGTCTGCCAGTTGGCGGCCGTGACAGGGGTTTATTGTCGCAAACAGGACCCCCAAGGGCCCAAAATGTCCAGACTCTGAGATCGTTTGGAATGGAGCTGTCTTGTTCTCGCCTTGCTTTTTGTTGTCTAAGGTAAGTCAGGTTTGTCTTGGGTGATTATTCTGCCCCCTGGCGGATGTGGGCAATGAGACAGCTGGTGGAGAGCCCGAGAGACAGTTCATTCTCCGATGCCAAGGATCCTCAGACATATACGCAGTATGAGACGCATCGGTCATTTTTTGGACATTTGTATCCGTAATATTGTCATTTGTTCTCAAAATCATTTTGTGATTATATCGAGAGCGGTGAACACGGGTGCCGTATGCAGCTGAGTTGAAGAGGTAAGCATCGATGGATGGATAGAGGGGTGGCAGAACCCAAACCTGAACTCGACAGGGGTGTTTAGTTTCTTTCTGAAGGGATGCGGTTTCAGCTTGCGATGCTTCTGGGCGTTTGCTGTAGCTTTTCCTTTGATTCTCTTTGCCCTTTTTCTTTTTCTTCCCTTCGGGATGCAAGCTGCACGATCGTGGGCGAATCGGGGAGGCACCCAAACCACCCCCCGCCCCTCAACCTTCAGCTTGGGTTGGCACTGGACGTCTGTCACGGTGTCACGGCGGTACGGGTTACACCACACCACACACGGCAGAGACACACCGCATACCTTATTTCGGATTCCCCATGCCTGCGTAGCCGGTAGCGCACGTAAGGCGAAGTACATGTATCTGGATATCCCTCCTGCAACCCTAACGCGGAGGAGCGGGATGGGGTGGCAGCTGTGGGTTGTGGTGTGTGCATTACGGCGCTCATGGCGGCTCGCTATCGGATTTGATGCAGCGGGACATGGGAAAGCGGGCAGCAGACCGGGGGTGGTAGGTAGAAAGAGAGGTGAAGCCCTGAGAGGGTGCCGGCGCATGCAGCGATAATCAAGAAATCTGCGTTTGGCTTGCATGAGTGCGCATGAGGAAGGGAAATCGCGGTGTGCAAGATGCAGAGTAAGTCTGCGACCGACGGAAACCTTCTTCTTTTCGCATCCACCGCATCACCGATAATTTCCCATGGGTGAGTCACAGACTGATGAAGGGAAGAGAGATGTGATTGCGACGCGCACGCAACAAACGGGATGAGACGAGTAGAATACACGGTTTGATATCCAAACGGTGATGGTGAACTGGATTGGCCATCACATTATCCAATACAGAACTGACCCAACAAACGACGAGCATCACGAAACTTGAGCGATGCGCCAGACGGTGATTGGAGCGCGGCCCCTCGCACGCGCCCGACCAGTCAGGTCCCGAGCGCCGGCCATGGGACACGGTCACCCAGACACTTTGCTTGTGTTGCACACCAGTATTTGAACCTTGCGAGTGCTATTGGCATTCGTCAACTGTGATGAAGTGTGATGTGACGGCGACGCGCCCGACTGAATTCAACGTCGCGTTCCAGAGATGTTGATTATGATCAACTTGTATTGTCATCTGCACTTTGACCGTGGGGGAGGGGTTATTAGTGGTAATAGGTGATAGTGGGATGAGTATCGCGAATCGCGGCGAAGTCATTTTCGATGATTCTCTCATTACGATGCTCTGTGACTGTCTTGATGGGTGGATGCGATTTTCGGAGCAAAGGCCGTCGAGAATAAGGCGGTATCTCGACATGACGCCGAGGGGTGTGCTGTGTGCGATGCCCACGTTGCTTAGATTGGGCTCCAAAGTGATTGGTATCTTCACCTCATCATACCTTAACTATGAGCTGACCAAATAGTTGTCGTGTAAGGCGGTTGTGAGGGGAGGGGTAAGATAGAGGTGCTCGTCACTCCGGAGCCCGGCTCCGGAGGGGTAGACAACCTACGTAGTAAGGCCTGGAACACACGATATCTCAGGATCGCCCATCTCCCGACAGCGGACCAAAGCGTCTAGATTACGGTATTACCGCTACAGACACCGCTCAGTGCCCAGTGACCGCTGCCACCTGAAGCACGCAACTGCGTGGCAGCGTGGTAGGCAAGGCAGAAGCAGGCTGGACACCTGCGAGATGCTGCCCGCTGCTGCTCGGCGGCCATGGCCGGCACCCAGACCCAGGCCCGTGGGGTTTCGTCCTGTGGGTGTATGCTTTTGTTTTTCTGCACCTCTTGATTTTTCTGTAAATTCTGTAATCTCGCAAGCGTTGGGATCGACGAGACACTGCGGTCGCGCAGAGATTCCCCGAGTTGCCCCGGGTGGGTTCCAGGACTTTCGAGTCTCCCAAGACCGCTCCAGGCCCTGTTCACTTTGTCAGTTGTCATATTTCTTGCAGATACTGCAGGTTCTTTTCTTTCTTGTCTCTCTTATTCAAATTTGGATGCTATTCCTGCCCGATCAATCTCCCCCTTTGCGTTGCCCTGCAGCACACGCCACACCCCTCAAGACCCAAAGAGAGGTCCCAAGGCATGCAGTATTTCGACCCTGATGGGTGTTTGGCATATGGCGGTGACGATGATGTAACTTGTAGGTGGAAGAAAGGGCCTAGGCTTTGGGAGGGGCGGGGGGCCTGCAAGCCGCAGCCGCCGTTGGGAGAAGAAATCATGAATAGCAAGAAAAAAACAGGCGTATGCAGCCACAAAAGCAAGCTCTGACGAACGACTCTTCCGACCAAGATTTTTCTTGCAAGAATTGCCAATATTGGGCTGTTCGATACGAGGGGGCTTTACCGCCTCCGGGCTTCGGTGGCAGAATACATACATACCTACGTAAGGCAGGTTGGCGGTAAGGTAAGGTATGAGAGGAGGGGTGGTGGTCAACAAACGCATCACATCACCCAACAACAACACACAACCACCAAAAACACCAAACCCCCACGCTCATTCTCCCCACCGCCGTCTCGTCGGTGAAGGAAACAGTCAGTGAACAACGAAACCCCCACCAGCTCAGCCAGCGCTCTCGCTCAAAGACGTCGCGAACGAATAGGTCGCCCACGCGCGGGCTTGGTATGTATCCGTATCTTATCGTAGTCAGTGGTCCAACGGAACCCCCCTCGCCCGGACGGACCTCTGCTTGGGGCGCCGGGGCTTACGGGGGGATTCGCATCGCGAAAGAACAGACGTTTGCTGTTCAATCCTCTGTGCCTCTTTACACTACCACCCCCAAACACACCCAGATATCAAAAATAAACGTAAGGGCGTTTGTTGCGCTTGCGGACGGAAAGGCACGGGATCCTCGAGCGCAAAATCCGTGCAGAGGATCTTCAGAGCTCAGCCCAGCTCACCCCCTCTCTATCTTTCCCCTCCGCTATCAGGAGGGGGAAAGACGGAAGAGGCGTCGCTGGCTTTTCTTCGTTTGTTTGAAGTGTAGGCGTGGTGGTGCCACCGCCATCCATCCATTCTAAGGTGTTCCAGCGACAAAGGTTTGAAAATAGCAATGCCAACAGGATGACAGCATACGAGAAGCTTCATCCGTGATGGGAGTGTCACCGTACACTTACAGATACGAAGCTGCGCGGTGAGATAAGCCCGGTCCGTATCGGTGCCGGACGCCGGTGGTACCTAAAACCCCACGCGCACCACTCACCGTAAATGTCTTGCTCGGGCATGGATGTCGGATGGCATCTCGTATCTTATCTCGGAAAGGCCCGAGAGCTGCCAGAGCTGCGATAAGAGGTGCGGTAACGGCGGATAAAGTGATCTCGACGTTTTGCTAGCGGTCGATCCGTTTAGACTGAACTGAACCTGCCGTTTCGGGCAAATTTACTACGACCCTACGACTCTGCGACCCCTCAACGGCCACGTTTTGTCCGGGAAGTTTGACAACACGGTTTACCGGGGGGCCATCCGTCAATCGTGCATGCGCTTCCTGCTGGTGCTTGCGCAGGCGGAGAAAGAAAACGGCGGATACGGATACTCTCTTTTTGAGTTTCCCGCCTTGAGGTCTTGGCAACTGAAGAATGCGGATGAACCGTTCCGTCCAATGCTCAAGCTCTTTGGGGAGGGGTTTCTTACGGATACGGGTTCCATCCAGGCTTGGGTCTGGAGACTCGTAGATAGACACCGCGGTCCAGTTCTTTTCTTCCTCTCGCTTGTGCTTGTGCTTGCAGCAGATCACTGGGCTCCTCCAAAACGCCAAACGGAACCCGTCCCGAAACCATTGATCGGACGGCAGAGGGGTCTCCGAGAGCGAAACGAAGGAGCCCAAACGATGGATGTGCAACTTTGGTTGGATCGAGGAAACACAAAATGTTTGCTCTGTCGGCTTGTCTTGCACCTTTCGTCTCTGATTGTTCTTTGTTCCCACTCATTGCTGGGCTGAGATATAGGTCACCCCCGAGGAACAGGTATCTGTTGGCCTGTAAGGTAGGCAAAGAAAGGAAAACAACACAGCTGAACCCGGTTCGTCTTTGAGCTGTATCCAGAGGCGGGGTTGATGTCACACAGGAAGTTGCAGACGGCGTCAGAGTTGGTCGCCGGGTTTACGTTCAGCCAACCAACCAAACCAACAGGAATAGCGACGTTTGATACCGATTGGGGAATCCTGCCCGGTGTGTGTCGGTGTAACGGAACTACACAACTTGTGTGTGGCTTGAACGCCTCGGGTTTCAGACCCGGGCAACCAACAGCCATCAACCAATCCGCGGTCCCGGTTTTCCCCAGGTTTGGCCATCCTTTGAAGTCAGGATTTTGCGCGCTCTCTGAATGGCGTACACTAGTCAGTCTCCCGAAAAAGAACGTCAGTTCCCTTGGGGCCAGTGCTTCAGGATGACGGCGGAACGACGATGGAAGCGTGGTTTAAAGCGAAAGCAAAACAAAAAAAAAAAGTTCTGTGCGGGTGGCCAATTCGCGTGGCATGCCTTGTGGGATCGCACGCCCCCACATGCTAGAATCTTGATTCTAGTGTGTAATACTGAGTCTCTATATTGCCAGAAATTGTCAACTTTGAAGATACCCACGTTTGCCGGCCGGGAAAAGAGACAAAATTGAGGGTCGTTTGATATCTCGACAAAAGAAGGAGGGGGCGTGTTGAAAATTTTGAACAGAAATTTCATCGTTGTATAAGGGTCCTGGATGATGGAACGGGAAAGGGGACGATCAAAATTGTTCATCATGTCAAAAGACTGAAGTCATAGTTGACGTCGAAGTTGCAGTTCGGGGAATAACTGATTCAGGTGTTCGCGTTGCGTCCCTGAAATTCACAAGCTTTTGGTGATGATTGCGCTTGAGAATGCCCTTTCGGACGACTTGCCCACCTCTTCCAAGGTTCTTCTGGAAAACGACAGTAAGAAAGAGGTTGTGGTTGGGTTGCGCCACACGCGATTCATGAGCCACCCGAACTCGAGAGACCCCGGAGAAAAGACCGCGATGTGAAAAGACTGAGAGACTGAGAGGTGTGTGCGTCGGAGATTCTCCGACTACCACTTTGACTTTGACCTTACGAGAAAGTAGGTGTCTCCACGACTCGAGTTTACCGAAACGACACCGAGACGAGGATTACGCGGTGCCGCGGTCTCGACGCGCAAAGCGCTTTGAGTGCCAAACCAGACGGCTGGGCTTGGGGGGAAATCAGGAGTGGAGCAGTCCCGGCATCTTCGACCACTTGGATGAATTTCTCCAAGGCGGAGAAACTCTGGCAGCACTTTAGAAGCCACATGGAAGAATTTTCCCTGCAAAGGAATTTTCTTTTCGGACCGGGGGTGTGTTGCGGAGAGAGACTCCGAGAGAGGGGGGAGGTTAGAGAGCTTTTCCTTCTGAACCGTTCATTTGTCACCAATCAAACTCGCCGTAATGCCGAAGAAGAGCCTCGGAAAAGCGGAGCATCTAGTCAAAGAAGGGCCTTCTTTTGCTTTAGCTATTGGGGTGTCTTTTTTTTGAAGCATCTAAAGCTTCGAGAAGGCGGGTGTTGAAGCTTACGACGGGGAATGATTCGGCGGGAAAAGAAGCACCGAGACCAAAAGAGAGGCGCCGAACGCAGCGGGTGAATGGATACCGCTTGTCAGAATTTTTCGCATATGGGGGTTGAGATGGGATCTTGAGAAAAGTTGAGAGGCAGGGAGAGTAGACAGGGTCTTTTTGCTAGACACTGTTGATGTCTGTCAAAAGGACCGTTGGGTAAAAGTTACCTACAAGCCTACCTAGTCCTACTCATTCTCCTTCCGCATTCTTCGAGAATTCCAACGAGACTTCATCCATTTGGTTAATGAGACTCCCTCTTCTCTCTACACTAGCAAGCAGACCTGGCAGAAAAAGCTTCCAGAGCTTCCTAAAGTGCTCCATATCTCTTCTCTTCCCAAATTTCCCCTCTTCCTAAAGTCAAGCCAAGAGTAATCCCGCCGCTGATAACCCGCGAGACCCTCTTTTTCCCATGTGGACTTTTCATCTGGCAGAATTTTGCACCGAAGAGCTCCAGTCTCCATGATTGCTGACTCCACCGCCCATGAGGAGTCCATGACAAAACAGGCAAGTGTGTAAAGACCGGAAAAGGTCTAGAGCCCTCTCCAGACCCCGGGAGCGATCGTCCCGTCGTCGGTGTCGGTGGGGAACTGAGGGAAGAGAAGAGGAGTGGGAGAGATTTGACACGTTGGGATTCGCCGGGGCATCCCGTTTGGCTCCCGAAATTTGCCAATCACCTTTTTCCGTTATGACTCCAAGAGCTCCGCTTCAGACTCTCCAAGGCCCCAATCTAAGGGCAAGGGGGGGAGTGGTGTTTGGATAAATGGTGAAGCCCCCCGTCAAACCGCAAGAACGAGGTCCAGGCGCCGGGAACCCATCCCGGTGCAGGGACCCTTCCATCAGGACTCCACCGTTCCCAGGTTTTGGCTGATTGCCAATGCCAAGCTCTCTGGTACTCTGCCACTCTGCCACGCTTTTCCACTGGAGTTTGCTTGGGTCCAGGAACCCAAGGAGCGGGGACTGGGAGAGGAGGAGCCGAGAAAAGACAAGAGGAGCAAACCCACCCGTCCAGGCTATGGCTCTCCTCTTTAGCCCGTTGGATGAAGGATCGTTGCAGAGTCTTCTCGCTGGAACCCGAGCCGACGGGTAAAGGGGGGCGTCTACGGATGTTGTCCGCGCCGCCGTTCAATACTGTCCTTTTTCTCTTTGCTGCTCTGGGATGATCGGAATTGGGAGACGAGAGAGCCGCGCCGCCACCTCGACATTGCGGGACCGCGGTGTGCACAATTCCGCAATCGCGGCAAGGGATTTTCCAAGGGTCCTGTTCCTCGCGGCCGTAAAGACGGACTATGTTGATCTAGAGTTCTAAACGGAATGCATCGGGCCCCAGTTTATTACTGAGAAAGGTAAGCAGCTTTGCCTATCTGGGTGTGGATTATCCCAACCAATCGTATCGTCTCCATTCAAATAAGTTGGGACAAGAGTTACCCCGCGACTAACGGAGCTGGTCCGCTGGTCTTATCTGCATTGCAGCGAGCGTAATCGCACGCAATGCGGGGAGGGTCCTGTCTTGTCCTTCTCTCCCGACCTCACC